GTTTTACTAAGCGTTGCATCATCATTTAATGCATGTAGATAACGAGTTGGTGGAGTTCGTGACTGCGGGCGAGCAGGAGTATGAGGAGGTGATCGAGGAGTACGAGGAGGAGGTTCTTGTGCAGGAGGGAGTCCCGGAGCCATCAGTTGCTGACTTTGTTGACACCCCGCCTGTCCAAGGCAAGCCCCGGTGCATAACCCTTGTTTTGTATAATAACTGGATATATATATGTGTGTGTTGTGCATTTACGTTACAGGCATTTTATAAAAACTACGTGCATAAATATATCCACCCATGAGTCCTACTAGTATAGGTCGAGTAACTGCTATGCTCAGGATGTCGGTAGCGTGGGTAACCTGTCGTTGCTCACAAATAGACGATAAATATGATCACTCCTGATAAAATGGTGGAAAGGAAAATGGTGATCGGGCAGGGATATGGTTGGGTTCTGGTGGGTGTAAAGGGTTGTGTCCTGTGGCCAACAGGGCATAGCTCGGTTACACTTTTTCTCTGTCTGTGTCAATTAAAGACCGATCGTTACATAAGTCTCGAGGCAAGTCACAGATCTATTATCCCGAGCGCATACTTGTGTATGGGCGCAGGGAAAGACTCGTTGCTCTCATATCGTGGATCCGGCTCTTTTCCGGACCGACTGATTGGAGGCGGAGATGGTGGAGGTCCTTGCACCGCACTGAGTCCGAGACTCAGGAGTGGAGGCTTGGAGTCCAAGTTTGGACGTGGACCTGGACACCTAGGACAAGAGGGTGATGGGTTAGTCCTGCTTGTGCCTATGGTACAAGTGGGGCGTGTGTTTTCGGGGTACCCAGCGGGGGCATTGATTCGTGAATCGTCGGGCGATCTAGTACGGCTTGTTTTTGGATCTAGCACCGTAGTAAGAACTGAAAGATGGAAGGAGAAGAAATGGAACTGATTGCTCAACTCTTGCTTGAAAGTAGAACATGTGCTTATATAGACTGGATAGATAATAACTTAATACAGACGATAATAATAACATAAATAAGGACTCACTATTAGTATTGCTTTCTGCTAAAATAAACCAGCAAACCATAAAGCTTCTCATATTTCTTGGAGTCGGAAAATTATTCCCACTAGTCGGATAAGTGTTGCGAGTACATTATGTACTCAGGGTTTATTTACCCCTGTTGCAGATGATGCATGAGAAGTACCTTTGTGTGGAGGATTCTTCTGGTGGGCTCAGACGGATCCTCGTTCTTATCGCTAGATGTTTATTTTAAATTCCACTGTTTATCGTTCTGCACTCTGATATTTAGTATTGTAATAATGTACTTTAAAAAACTCGGACGTATGAAATGGATAAGTATGGTAACTCGTTCTCATTATTGGATCCTTGAGAAAAAATATGGACCTTTCGGGTTCTCCCTTGAGGTGTGCCCGACGGATACCGCCCGCTGTAGCTTGCTTTCGGGATGCTTAGTGTCTGGTGGAAGACGAGCACCTCCGTAAGCGTATTATTTCGGGCGGTTCTGCCACAACGCCCAAGGCGACAACTCCACCACTTTACTTGCCAAACATTTTCGGTAATGCTAGCAATCAGAGTTCGCCCGCACCGGACGCCCTTGTTGCTGGACCCGACGTCCAGGAGCCTATCCGTTCCAATCATCTCCCTACCCTCCAGTCACCGTAGATTATAAAAAAAACTCACACAACCGCGACTACGCTCCGCCACTCCTCCCGCACGACCGCGTCTCCCGCTGGCCTTCCTCTCCACTGCTGCCGTGCCCGCACCACCACGGCGTGCTCCAACACGACCGCACAGCCGTTGTCGCCTCGCTGTGCGATGCCGCACCCACCCAACTGTTGTTGTCGCCTCCACCGCGGGCACCACTCGCTTGGGGCACCGCGTGCGCCCTATCACCAGGGGCAGCATAGCCGCTCACCGGGGACCGCATAGCCGCTCGCCCGCTGCCATCCTCCTTCTCAACCGCGACCGCACAGCAAGATCCCGCTGTGCAGTGCTCTGCCCGCCTGGCTGCTAGGTTTTACTGAAAGTACATGTTGCAAGCGTATGTTTTAAGTGTTTAAGATGTTTCAGAGGTACGTTGCAAGTGTTCAAATGGATGTTGCAAAAGTAGATCTAGATGTTGCAATGGTTGTATATGTATGTTGCAAAGGTCTGTTTCTAATGTTTCATCTGTGTTTTCCAGAGGTATGTTGCAAGTATGTTTATCTTGATATTGCATATGTTTCACACATGTTGCATGTGTGTTTATGTAGATGTTGCATATGTTTGAAATGGTTTTCAAGTGTTTCAGAAGCATGTTTCAACTTTTTCGTCTGCCTTCAGACGTATGTGTTACATTTGGATATTTCAAAGTAGATCGGGTGTTGCATCTCTCCTCCTCGCCTTCTGCTGCATCGCCTCGGTGTCTCCTCCTCCTCCTCCCGGCGCCGGCTGGGCATCTGTCGCCCTCTCCCCTCTTCTCGATGCTGGTGACGTTCGGGGCAGTGCTGGCCCCGTGTGGGCGCACAAAACGACGTGGGAAACGGATTGCGGGGCATGGACGTCCGGGCGCTAGCAAGCCAGAAACATATTTTTCCCTTGTGTTCTCATGCTGTAAGGGCCTGTTTGCTTTGCGGTCTGGCAAAGTTGCCTGGCGTAGGAGCTTCTCCTAGGCGTCCGATTTTCACTGCCTGGTGTCACGATCTCTGCTTTGCCTGGGGTCACGATCTCTGCCTAGCATGACCTCTGCCTGGGAGGCTTCAAAGCAAACAGGCCCTAACAGCGTTCAAAACCGTAGACAGTATGACTCCCTGAATATGGCCTATATAAAAGAAGTATTTGTTTTTTTTTCTCAAAAATAATGTATGATCCCCTGAGTACCACCTGCATAAAAGAACTCTCTCCGTTTTAAATTATAAGACGTTTTGTTTTTTTAGAAACTAGTGACAGATTTAGGATTTTAGCTTAGGGTATACCGACCAAAAAAAATCTATAAAATTCGGTAAAACCATATGTGACTTTAAGTTAAAGACGTTCACAAATTACAATGTGAATAGTACAACATACTAATTGTTTTAAATATAGACATAAAAGAGAGTAAAAGGTCTAAAATACTACTTAGAACATCTGCAGGAGCCTTTCTAAAATTTGTTCTTTAAATCATCATTTTAGTAAAAATTATTTTCTATATATTTATACTCTCCAATGATTTTTCTATATCTCGTACGCACTCTAGAGAGTCATCCTCGCTCTTCACCTGGCTTGCGAGAAATCTAGAATAGTGGATGTCTATATTTGGATATCCAATTAAAGAGGCAGTTGGATAATATTTTTTCACCAGAATCTCTATTCCTGTAAAGTAAGAAGGATATAAAGAGTCTCTTGGAGATGTTTGTGACTATTTTAGTTGACGCTTTCTAAGGCCAGTCTCGTGGCGTTGTTTCTAAGACTGCTATGTCATTTAAAGTGAAATGAAATATAGATGAAACACACATTTTCAAATAGGGTATGTCCGTGCATATCTAGCATACCCTGTAGCTCTGCCCCTGTTAGAAACATAGCTTTTGCTATGCACTTAAATAAAAATATGTTTAGAAACGTAGTAAAATTAATGCATCTAGAAAATGCTAAAATGTCTTATAATTTGAAACAAATGAACTATTTGGTATTTTCTCAAAAATAATGTCTTTACGAGTGCACCAAATTACCCAAATAATAGCATTAACCTCCACAAAATCAAATTTCTTTGCACCCTCCCGATGCCCGTTAGTCAACTTTCAAGCACGTGGGTAGTGGATCTAGAAGGGGTTAACCTAGTAGCTATATGGACAATGTCCCAAATGTTTTCGCATGGCAGCAATGAAAACAGAGATGTTGTATCAGACACAACCTTCTTCCGGTAGAGGTTGACATGGCACTAGATCCTCCCCCGGACTAGCAACCACATAAGAATTGAACCCTCGGGGGTGCGGTGTTGTTCCAGACGAACTTGGTTGACTAGCTCGTCGCACTGCTTGCTGCTTTCGCTTTGTATATTCCTCAAGCGTTTCGAATCGTCAAAAAACCATCTATCATACTTTTTGTCTGGTACCTCAAGCTTTTTAAATTCCCTTACTGTCCAACACTTCTCTGGAAGAGATTTGCCAGTATTCTACACTACTACATAATGGATTTTCAACGATGGGACCGCTCAATTTGCATGATACCCCAATCGTTGACCCTAGGGTATCCTTATTTTGTGTCTCCTTAACGGATCTTCACGAGAGACGTTCATGGGCCTTTGGATGAAAAACCGGCGTCGAATCGGCCTCATCGACATGCTAGTCGGCCTAGCCATTTAGATATATCTCCATTTAGATATATCTCCACTGTTTATCTTGGCAATGTGCTGCTCAGGCAATCAAACCCTTTCTAGTGTGTGATCAGATTTAGCGTCAATAAATACTCTAGAATGACTTGTTGAGTTGTAGTACATCCGTCCACAAAAAGATGTAATTCTCACTTTTGAGGTATCAAACGATTTAAAATTTAATTAAAGTTATACAAAATGTTACTAACATTTATGATACAAAATAAGTATCACTAAACTAGTCATGAAATATTTTTCATAGTAAATAAATTAAATTAAAGACATAAATATTAATACTATTCACTATGAATCTAATCAAAGTTAAGTTAATTTAACTTGTATAAATGTTAAAGTTACGTTCTTTTGTGAACCGAATGAGTAAGGAGAGAAGAAGCGATGCTAATTGATCTTCATACAATTTACTTATTTACAGGTTCATGTATTCTTCAAATTTGAGGTAACCTCTTGTGTGGCTTATCCAATTTTTCCTGTGATTGCAGCATTTTGTCCATAATTTGTGCAATCGGTCATGTAAATTCGGTGTGATTTGGTCCATAAGTCTTTTGGTTCGTTTTCTTATTAGAGGTCGCCCCAGCTGTAAATTTTTCGTGGCTCCGCCACTGCTGAAGCCATCCAACGTTATCTCCATCGCCCGCCATTGCTGCTCAACTAGACTGTGGACTGCAAGGGACAGCCTCCAACGACCAACTTCACCTCTCCATCGACTCCGCCACCTGTTACCGAGATTAACGGCGACGACGGTGATACACGTCTGAATCTGATGCCCAACCTGATCACGTCCGTCGATCTGTCGCTGCTGCCAGGCCAGGCCAGTGACGGCATGGACACTGCCGATGACTCCAAGTACGATGCGCAGGAGAGGCAGACGAGGAAGGGCGGGGTCGATCCAATTTTCATGTAGCCGCATCCGGCTCTGAAGAGCCTGAAGCACGGAGGCACGCAAGGAGAGGGCGGGCAAAAGCGCGTTCGAATTGTTTTGAGATGCGTGTCAGATGATTGGGCGGTGTCAAGCTCAAGCAGTCTGAATACGGCACCATGCATAGATTTTCTTTCGATCCACACAGTACAATGCTCTAGAAATAAAAAATACCAAAAATTTTGCACAATCTGAAAGGAGTAGGATTCAACTAGTAGATAGATGCATAGAATAAAAACAAATATAGAAAATGATTATTTAGGCATGAACGCAACTGAGACCCTGTTCGCTTGAACTTATCAGCCGTAACGTTTCAGTAAAATAATAGTGTTTTTCTCTCACAACAAATCAACATCAACATCAACATCAGCCGTTTTTCCAGCCAGCCGAAATGTGTGTGAACCGAAACAACTCATCCAGAGGCTCCTCCACGTCTTCTTACGCTGCTGCTTCGACTGCATGCAAGCGAGATGTGACATCAATCGACAGATCATAATTACATTACCGGTTAAGACAAGTGCTACAATGGTCCGTTCTCGTGCCCTTAAACCTGGCTTGATCCGCTTCTTTTTTTTTCATCCGGAACCGTGTTTTCCTCTCACAGATTCCTCCAAAATTTCTCCAAACCATCCAAATTCCTCCAGAACCAGAACCATATCGACGGACATGCATACCCTTGGCCTCAGGTCGTCGTCGTGGACGAAGTCCGGCGGGGGCACCTGGTACAGGTCGGCGTCGACGCGCTGCACCACACACGCCACCTTAGCCGTGCCGGTGCTCTTTGCCGGTGTGCGCGGCACAGACGACGGGACCACGCCGTCGCACCTCCTCGCAGGCCTGGCAGCACGGGGGCGCTTGCCACCGCCGTTAGACTTGTCCGCCGGCCTCCGGACCTTCCTACTGAGCGGCGGTGGCTGCTTCCGCGGGGGCGGCGAGTACTTGAACCACACGTCGCTGCGGGCCTCCAGCTCCGCCGCCGCCGCCGCCGCCGCCGCGGGCGTGGCGAGCTCGGTGCTGCCGTAGCAATTGTAGTTCCACTCTCTGTAGTGCTGCCGTGGCGGAGCTTGAAGGAAAAAAAGAGGAGGCCATTAGCATAAATTTCTTACTTAATGTGCATATTTATTTATCTTAATCACCACTTTAATAGCCAGTTAATGGATTTTTCAATTAGCAAGCCCTCCTTGGCCTGCATGTAGCTCCGCCAGTGACTCCCAATGCTGGCACGCGCCACCGCCTCGCCTTCTACATATGAACGACAGCGATCCCGTTCAGCTCTGTTCGTTTCGCTGAAATTTGACTTATACTGATGCTTATGCTATTTTTTTAGAGAAAAACACTAAATATTGCAAAGGAACGAAGCATTGGGATTGGTGCATGCATGATAGCTAGCCTCGTCAATCAAATCATTAGATAGAGGTAACTAGAGCAGCAATACAATCAATCAAACAACTGTTCGCTTGCTCATATACGATCGTGGATTATAAGTTGGAATAGTATTTTTCTCTCACACCAAACCAGCCAGCAGTAAATAATCCACGATCGTTTACGACGAAACAAACAGGCTGCAACTTTTCACGGTGGAACAACGATTGCCCAAATAATAGCAATAACCTTCACAAAAGTCAAATTTCTTTGCACCCTCCCGATGCCCGTTAGCCAACTTCCAGGCATGTGGGTTGTGGATCTAGAAGGGGTTCACTTAGTAGCTATATGCACAATGTTCCGATGTTTTCGCATGGCAGCAATAAAAAAGCGATGTTTAATTGTTTCATTATTGCAATCATAGGAACAATTTTAAAGATCATCCCTTTGAGTTTCCAAGGAAACTGCAAAGCCTTTCCTTTTCATCACTTCTTCCAGAAAGTTCCAGCTAACACTGTCCTATGCTTTTTCAAAATCAATTTAATTTAAAGATCACCTCTTTGAGTTTCCTTTTTCTCATCTCATGAATTGTCTCATGCATAATGAGCACCCCATCTAATATATATATGCCCTTAACATAGCAAATCAAATTAAAGACATAAATATTAATACTATGCACTATAAATCTGGTCAACGTTAAGTTAATTTAACTTGCACAAATTTTATAGTTACGTTCTTTTGTGAACATATGAGTAACTTGTAAGTGCCCTAATATTGATTCTATGCGTGGCATGCTTCCCCACCAGCCGCACGCATATATGCTCTTACATGCTTCCGAGTCAGTTAAGGAACTCTAACCTATCTCTTAAATTTTGGCTCCCTATCTCCTGAAATGAGAGTCCTTATCTATATTGGCCCTGTTCGCTCATCTTATATTTCGTACTTTTCGGTTTATCTTTTCAACCGAAGCAGTGCTTTTCAACCGGAGCAGTGCTTTTCACTCACGACAAAATCAGCCGGAACAGTATTTCAGCTTATTTTTTCAGCGAAGCGAATAGGGCCATTCAAGCTCTTACTTATTGGCACACTCCAGCCAATCTCCTAAAACTTTCCACATTACACTATATATATTGACATGTGCCTCGCTTATTGACCCCCGCTTGTAATCTCTGTAAGAAAAGAGGAAGGAGTAGAGGGAGGACGAGGGACTCCTACGTCTAGGAGTTTGAGAGAGGAATGAGAGCCCCTCATTCATTTGGGGACGGATGAGATTCCGGTCAGAGCTGTGTTTTTATGTCCCGAGACCTAAAAGAAGGATAGGAGTTTGAAAGGGAGGGCCTCCAACGACCATCCTCACCTTTCCGTCGACTCTGCTGGCTGTTACCGAGATTGACGGCGACGGTGATACACGGTCTGATCACGCCCATCGATCTGTCGCTGCTGCCAAGGGGAGGCCAGCGACGCCATGGACACGGCCGATGAGTCGATGACTCCAAGTACGATGCGGAGGACGCAGACGACGAGGGCTAATTTTCATGTAGCCGCATCCGGCTCTGAACCTGAAGCACGGAGGCACGCAAGGAGAGAAGCGGCAAAAGTGCGTTCGAATTGTTTTGGGATGCGTGTCAGATGATTGGGCGGTGTCAAGCAGTCTGAATAGTGAATACGGCACCATGCATAGATTTTCTTTCGATCCACCACACTGTACAATACTTCATCCAAGAAATAAAAAAAGCAAAAATATTGCACAATCTGAAAGGAGTACTAGAATTCACTAGTAGATACATACGTAGAATTAATTAAAACAAATACTGAAAATAATTATTCAGCCGGCCTGCAGCTGAACCCGAAGCAACCCATCCAGAGGCTCCTCGACGCCTTCTTACGCTGCTGCTTCCACTGCATGCATGCGAGATGTGACATCAATCGACACAAATCATAATTACATTACCGGTTAAGACGAGTGCTACAATATTTGCGGACCTACATACCCTTGGTCTCAGGTCATCGTCGTGGACGAACTCCGGCGGGGGCACCTGGTACAGGTCGGCGTCGACGCGCTGCACCACACGCGCCGCCCTGGCAGCGCTGGTGCTCTTTGCCGGCGTGTGCGGCACAGACGACGGGACCACGCCGTCGGACGCCCTCGCAGGCGTCGCAGCACGGGGGCGCTTGCCGCCGCCGCAGTAAGACTTCTCCGCCGGCCTCCGGACCTTCCTGCTGACCGGCGGTGGCTTCCGCGACGGCGGCGAGTACTTGAACCACACGTCGCTGCGGGCCTCCAGCTCCGCCGCGTACCTCTCGAAGGGGACCGCCGCCGCGGGCGTGGCGAGCTCGGCGCTGCCGTAGTAGCTGTAGTTCCACTCCCCGAATGCCGGCACGCGCCGCCTCCTCGCCTTCTGCTGCACACGCACGCCGGCGATGGCGTTCATATATATAGTAAGGAAGATTGCGAAGGAACGAAGCATCATATGTCCGGATTGGTGCATGCATGATATACATCATCGTCAATCAAATCATTAGATAGAGGTAACTAGAGCAGCAATCAATCAACTTTTCATGGTCGAACAACGATTGCTTTCACACATACACTGTTCTTCACTTACCTCCATTTGCTTGCTTGGGTCCGCAGCGCACGGGGGTGACAGGGGCAGACGACAGAATGAGAGAAGGATCGGAGAGGCTGGGGATCACAACAAGCGAGAGAGAGCTATGGTCAGAGGGTGGGAAAGCCTAGTAGCCAGCCAGCTGCCGTGTGGTAGTAGTGAACCAAGATGGACGGACATTTTATGGACGTGTGAGCCGGCCTGTACTGTATTTATAGCCGTAAGGCGAGCGAGCTAGAGAAGGAATGAATTGAACAGGGCGCGCCGCGGTGTGTGTGATGACTGATGGATGTGAGGCCTTGACTTGAAGGGATGAGCGAGCCATTAAAAAAAGGCGAGCGAGCTAATGAAGGAATGAATTGAACAGGGCGCGCCACGGTGTGTGTGATGACTGATGGATGAGCGAGCAAGGAGTAGTAGGTATCCAAGGCATGCAGCAACAGGCGGGGAATGGGCTTCCGATGGATGGAGAGCTAGCTAGCTAGCTACAGTTGCTCCTCCTCGGCCTACGTTCGCACGCAGTGCAGCACAGCAGTAGAAGCTACTCCTACTACTACTGCGGGCACTGGAGCGCGCAGCGAGGCCGGTGACCAGCAGGGTCCAGGTCCATGGAAGTGGAAGCTGTGGGGGACTGCCGCAGGGCATGGGCGACTGACTGCCGGCGTAAATTCGAGTTTGACATTGCGTCCATGTGCCATGGCTGACCGGCGCCTGGTGCTCATCGTGGCTTGGCTTCCCACTGCAAGTCTGCAACTGCATGCGATCGATCTCCCTTCATTGACGACGACCTGCGCTGCACCACGCGTGGCTGCTGTTGTGGGGGGTGGTCGACCTGTACTGTACTGACGGCTGACGCTGGCAGGGCCCGCGCAGCATGGGTGAGGGCCCCGGGTGTCGCTGTGACGCTGTGCGTGGCTGTGGCTGCAGTGCAGGCCGGGTTCAGTCTTCAATGACCTTGTACGTACGCTTCCTGCTGCATGCGTTTATTTATATTTATAGGAGGAGTACGTTCAATTCGGACGTTCTGCACTAGCTTTAGCTTCTAGTCTAGTACGGAGTAGTAGTAGTTCTAGCAGCGGGTGCTGTGATTTGTCCATCATTCTGCCTTTAATTTGGGTTGCGCAGGGCAATGCAAACTACGTAGCCAGTAGCCACTCTCCTACGTATGCACACGGGGTAGAGTAAGGGCGTTTTTAGTTCCGAAATTTTTTGGCTTTTGCCTACGGTAGCACTTTCGTTTGTATTTGGCAAAAATTATCCAATTATGAAATATTTAGGCTTAAAAGATTCGTCTCACGATTTCTCGACCAACTGTGTAATTAGTTTTTTTTTTCGTCTACATTTAGTACTCCATGCATGTGCCGTAAGATTCGATGTGACGGGTACTATGCAAAAAAATTTGGATTTTGAGGACATCTAAACGGGACCTAAGTGAGAAAGCCAAAGAGAGAGTATTCTGACCTTTCTCGCGACAGTAGAGAGTAGACTTCCCCGTTCGGGGAGGCTACAGGCAGGCCAGCTGCTTCGGCTTATTTGGAACCTTGGAAGTGCATGTGAACCGTTGATAAATACTCCTCCTCGGGCAATACAAAGAGTTGGCCAGGGCCAGCTAGCTTCAAAGTCCAGTGTTTGTCAGCGGCTGCATGCACTCAGCTGGCAAGGAAACCGGCCGGTCGTCCTACACTACACATACTGCCGGACATACTGGTGCTAGGGATGGTTCTCGGATTCAAAAGCTGAAAAAAATTTGGTGCCTATACCGAAACAGACGAAATTTGGAAAATTCGGGATTCAACTGTTGTTGACTAATTAAAAAAAAACCATATTGTGATAAGGTTTGGCCAAAATTTAACTGGGATTCATAGTTTCCTCCAGTTATGCACAAATAGCATAGGACTATATTGCATGAGAAGAACAAGATAATGATACTTAGTCAGACTTTTAACCTCTGGAGGCACCTCCGCACCCGTGACTTCTCCATGTCCTGTGTCTCACCGTCTCTGCAGACTGCAGGAGCAATTTTTCTTCTTTGCGAGTGACATTTTCTTATGTTCTTACACAACTTTCAACAGGTGAGAACGAAGCTACGTCTTCTTCTTTGCGAGTGACATTTTCTTATGCTCTTACACGACTTTCAACAGGTGAGAACGAAGCTACATCTTTTTTGACCGAAACGTCTGAAGTTTTTTTTGTACGAATGATAAAACTGTGTTTTGGTTCTAAAACTAGGGAGGTTCTAAGCATCCATGTAAAATTCTTCTGACCCCTAGAGTGTCTTTAAGGCGTATTGTATCAATCTATTTTCTCTACTTTAATACAAAGATGTGCAAATCTTTTGGATTGAGAAAAAAAAACTATGTTTTGGTTCTGAAACTAAAGTCAAATACCTGAAGACACCCCCCCTACCCCCCACCCCCACGGCATACCTAAATCCTCATGGGAATTTGGCAACGGACCGGTGGTTTCGTATGCCCATTTAGGACCAGTTTACATGGCGTAGTTTTTAAAACTTATGGTTTTATAAGTCAAAAACATATAAAACGGTTGTTTAGAAGGAAAAGATCTTAGTGAATTAAGTTTCTAAAACCCAAAAATACTATGGTTTTGACAAAATCATAGTTTTAAAAACATCAAAGTTTAATTTGTTGGATCCAAACACCCATGTGCTTTTGAAACCAAAGTATTATTTTGCAAAATCATAGTATTATCCAAAACTTCAAAAATATTTTGCATCTAAACAGAACCTGCTATCTAGCAAATTATGTCTTCTCACGTTGAAACAGCCCCTACTGAAAATAATAAATTAAGTAAAAGGGAAAAGTTTTACAACAGACTCTAGCCACTTGCCCACTTTACAATTACTATTTCCCTTTTGCTCTATGGATAACTACTGCGAATTCAACTTTAACGAAAATGGCCCCGGTGGGCCGGGCTCTGGGCAGCTCTGGCTTCTGCTGCCGAATCGATGTAGGCCCCGTTTGATAAGGCTTTTTCACTTGCTTCAGGAGTCGTTTTCTGCCAAACGAGGTAAAGTGAAATAGCTTTATTGGTGAAGTCCTTAAAAACATGCTTTCATAGTGATTTCGGGTGGGATGGAGCTAAAAAAAATGACTTCTCCTCTAGGCCCATAAAAACATACTGTCACAGGGAAGCCATTTTGCCAAATGGTTTACCAAAACCGCTTCAGCTCCACTGGTGAAGCTGTTCGTGGAGCTGAAGCCAAAAAAATGGCTTCACTAGTTAAGTGAAGCTCTGCCAAACGGGCCTGTAGTTGCATTATTCACCGAAGCCGTTTTTCTCTCTCCTCCTTTCCTCTCTCACTGACACCACCGGAGCCGGAGAAGCTCGTTTTTTTTGCCTCCCGTGGCTTTAGCTACAGTGTCGCTACTGTGTAGAGCCGGAGCAGCGGGAGCTCGGCCAAACAGGGTCTAAAAACAGGACTTGTTATTATGTAATGTACATTTTTTTTGTTTCCAAAATGCTTTGAGATTTAAAAATAAAATATATACTTAAATTCGAATGAAGTTGATGTCGATGCCTGTAATATGTCTTTGAGAAGAAACATTTTCGTTCAAGCAAAGCGAGCTCGATGGATTCAGGACAGTACAATTCGTTCGGTCTGTTTGGTTTGCAGAACGGACAGATGCGGAATGATCCGATCCAACATCCGAACCTAGCGCTGGCATTTGGTTTGCGTCACACGTTCAACCGGTCCGTCATCCATCAGTTCTTTACGGGGCCAATCGCAAGTAAGTTAATGGAATCAACTGATTCTCCGAAAAAACGTCGGACTTCTTCATGCCGCATGGGTCGGTCAGTCCAACCAAACACGCTGGTACATGTGATATGTCATAAGCGTGACAAACTAACGGTTTAATCGGAGGACACGCGCTTAAGCGCCATACCCTACACATCTACGTCCTTTTTTCTGCCTGACGAGCGACGAGAAAAATGGCTGGTCCGCTGCAGCTATTCACGTCGACCAGGTCTAGCGACGGCACTGCATGCTCTTCACATGCATCTTCCGGTGACGAGTCTCACGGCCGGAGATTACTTTTGACGCAGAATCGGTCGGTGTCTCTGGCTCTCTGCCGCGTGCCGTTCCAGGTTCGCAGCTGCTCTGCTTGCCTGTCCATGGACCATGGTCCGAGGAAGCCTAAAAAATCTCCGAACCGGCTGAAGAAAACACGACAAATTATGGGTGCGGGTGCGGGTTCGCGGGGGGCACGCTTCAGGCTGTGCAGCATCAAGCCATCAACCTCGCATCATGGCGGGGCGGCAGGCCGGGCCGAGCAGGACCAGCGCCAGGAAGATAGCATAAGCTGCCATGGGCCCATGGCCGATGAGTACTGGGTACTTGGGCCCGCTCGATCGGACTGCTACTGCCCACCCAAACCCAAGTTGGCGCGGGAGAACACCACCAGTACGTGTTGTGTGAAAACGCCCGTTCAGGTTCAGTAAATAAACAACTGCTAAAAAAAAAGTAAATAAACAAAGGAAAGTGTGAAACCTGAAAATTGCTTCTGTTTGGCCTTTTATTATCCTTTATTAGTGTCGTTTTCACTTGGCAACTGGGAAGCTCAAAACTCCACTTATTCACAAGAACTCGTCTACCATAATTGAGTCTTAAGATAAACAAAAGGCAAGGGTTCTTCGAATAAGAACCGCGCCAAAACAATTATGGGATGGTGGAGCAAACAAAGACTCCCCCCCATAAATATCAGCTCGGTCCACTGTTGGTCATGACTCATGAAGAAGCCAGCTCAGAGCTACTGGCTGCTACATGTTGGGTTGCACGGGTACTTGCAGTCGATCTGTTTCACCACTCGCCTTCTGCCGAAGTACCAGTCCCCAACAGCCTCTGCAACAGTCTGCTCCAAACCGAAAATTTGAAATCAGAAGATGCCAGTCGTCAGTCCAAGCAAAGGACGAGGCCGCACCAGAGGCTGTTACAGTACGGTTCACTAGTTGAGTGATTAATTAAAACCTCACCTGATTACCAAGCCTTGGGGAGGTGGGCGAGTGCCATGAGTCGCTCGATTGAGTTTGGCAGTGGGTGTAGCATGAATCGATGAACAGCCCCCAGTCCCGTTCACCTTCAGCAACCTTCAGCTCCCTGATGAGTTCCCTCCTGAATCCTGCAGCACACGGCACATTTCGCATCACAGAGGTCAGGACGGTCACCGAATGGAGGTCGAAACAGAAGAGATCGGGAAGCTAGGCTAATTAACCATGCAGCACATCGATCTGCTTGGAACTGCAGTTCCGAATATTAGCTCTGCAGTTCGACCATGTGTCTCCAGGATACGATCCGTCTGGCGCAACAACATTTGCAATCTGGAGAGTACAAGCACATCAAGTTTACAGGCTTACACCGTTACAGCAGGTAGGATGTTACCAAACTGACCAGTAGAAGAAGTAATTAATAAGATTGTAATCACCTCACCTGCCAAGAATCATATTCTGAGTTCACAATAAACGTGGGGGTGCTGATGCTCTTGATAAGTTCAGCAGGGAAGAAACACTGGGAGCAAATTAAGAAAACATGTTGGCAAATGAGCTTGGCAGCATATCAACGAGAACTGAATCCCGTAGAGAGAGTGAACAGCTACGTACCTCTGTTGGATCCTTCTTTGCCAGGCAGTCCTTGGGCAAAACTTTGCTAACATTCTGCAACAGAATTCAGAGAAAGGAAAACTCAATCATCATTTAGTGCCGAGCTGCACACGTGTGAAACAGTTCGATCTCATGGATTCCAAAACTGAAAAGATGCAGAAGGTGAGGAACCCCGCTCCACAACTAACCTGAAGCTGAACAACTCCGTTGAAGATCGATCGCATATGCCTTTCTCCTGATAAATCCTTTCTGGTGAGGAAAACACATGCTTCATTTAGTTCAAGTACAGTGTTATTTCGCTAGTGGGGTACGCTAGCTAACCTCCAGAGACTTACACATCAAGAAAGAATCCACCATCAGGAAGGCATTTGACCGGAACCTCCTGAGGAAATCTTGCACGAAAATTATCGCAGTGCACTAGTGTAGCTAGACCACCAGCAGAACAGCCTGCAAGCAAGGCCTGAAAAGAGTGCGACAAAATGGAGTTGGCCATGGCTCTGATTGATCACACAATTCACAACTAGTGGTGGTCGTGCCAGAAGGCGCTTGTTGCAGAATATATGAGAAATCAATAGTTAAATTAACCTGTTTAGCAGTGTCCATCCCTTTTCCCATGAGTTCATCGACGACTGCGTCCCAGATGCGCGATCCTCTGAAGAACAGTTTAGTTCCATCCTACGTCAATCAAAGCCAGGGTCAGTTTCAAGAATTTATATTAGATACGCAGCTCAAACTACAAATCTAGAAAAGTCACCTGTGCTTCACCCTCCGCGTCCCCAGAAAATGACGCCCCATCGCAATACCTTACAAAGACTTTATTCCAGTTGTAGAAATCTGATCACAGTTCACAGTTCAGGAGCCAGCTAAAATTAGTGAAAAGACACGTTGAGCAGGCTGAGGAAACTAAATTAATTCAGAAGTTTCGCCAAAACGAATACTATGGGCATGGAAACTGGAAAACTATCTAAAGCTGACTAGTAGTGCACTTACCGGGATTTTGTGGCTGCTGGTTACTGAATATCCCATCAAAGGTCATTGCTTCCATAAGCTTGGACGAACCATAGGAGGTCATTTTACGCTCAGAACAAGTTTCTGTGGTGTTATCACTGCTGCACCAAGCTCCTCCCTGAGTTTTTTTTTGGAAAAATTAGCAGGAGCACTGCTATGTCATATAAGAAGGAAGCAAATCCAGTTTACGATCAGTATCACAGCCTATCAGGATTCAGGAACCGTGCAGAACATCAGTACCGGCCTCACGGTACGATCGCGAAAAAAAGCAACCGTGCAGAACATCGGATTATTATTATCTAATCTTACGTTCATGAAGACGTAGTAATTTGTTTTTTGAGGAATTAAGACGTACCAAATTGAAGCTGAAAAAGGAAAATGAATGGGTCAGTCACCTGAAGATAGACGATCCAGCTGCGGGATCCGGAGCCGAAGCCTCTCTGGAAGTGGTAACCCGGCGGGCTTCCATCCAAGCACACTGCGTATATATACACAACGCATGCATATATGTAAATAAACCATGCATCAAAAATGAAAGAAAATAAGGAGGGGACATTAGTTAGCTTTAGCTGAACACAAACCTGCGCCCTTCTCCCGTGCGCCGGTGAGGAGCGTCAGCTCGATGAGCTCCGGAGAAGAGTCCGCCGCCACTGCCACAGGTAAGCGGCCGAAGGCGGCCAGCAGGGCCAGGAGCGTTGCCGCCATGACCGTGGCACATCCGGCAGGTCGACGCTGCCGGAACGGCAACGACGACGACGACGTGTGCTCGGCAGTCGCCATGTATGACCGATGGCGGTTGCAGGCTTGCAGCTACAACTACGAGCCGAAAGCACGGCGGGCTGTTGCCCTGTTGGCGTCCTTGAGTGTATATAGCTCGTTAAGCCCGCGTGTTGGGTCGAGGATCGGAACTTTCGAAGCATCAAGCATGGAACCCGCCGAGGGGATACATAGTTCCAGGTATGAACATACAGTAGGACGACGCAACTATGTTTTTTGAACAGGTCGCGGCACGACAGCAACTACGCGCCAACTTTCAAATGCCGAGTCTACAGAGACCGGAGACTTGACGCAGACTCTGCCGCTCCTCCACCGTGTACAGAGACTAACAGTTGACGACGACGAGGGTCGGCAGCTGCTGTGTGCCTGTGTCGAAGAACGCGTGGCCGCGTGTCGTGGGCCGTGGCCAAAACGTTCGCATTCCTGTTCCACACACGCTCCCCTCTCGCCAATTTTTTTTTCCAAAGATCGTACCACGCAGGCACGCACCGCTAGTTGAAGCTTTGAAACTGGTCGGATCTCGGCACAGTGATGACCACTGCCACGAAGATCGTGGAGAAAAAAAAAATCTGCTGGTATTGCTTAAAACTTTTTTTAGATAATGGAAATAAATTTGATGTATATAACCACAGAAATATCCCACTCAAAACTCAATTATAATATATTATATAAAAGTCATCCAAAGACAGAAAAACCATCACCCCTAACTCTAGCATTTGACAGACTTAGAGAATGTGAATGTGCTTCTTATTGTTTGCCTTCACGGATTTACCCTGCTATAATTATGTCCATTAATATAGCATTTTTCTTAATATAACTATCGGTGTTTCGAGTTGCCACCAACAAGTAAATTTCTAATATTGCGCGTCTGGCTCGGATGGTGTGCTAAGAGGACACGAGGTTTATACTAGTTCGGGCAGAATGTCCCTACGTCCAGTTCGTTGCTGCTGCTCGTGTTACTAGCACTGAAAGTTCGTAGTAGGGATTACAAACGATCGAGAGAGGGACATGTCCCAAGTAGAGAGAGGGACATGTCCCAAGTCTCTGGAATGAGGAGCGAGCGGGTGCCGAGAGCTCGGTCGCTTCTCGGCTGCGTGCTTGTGTGTTCTAATCGGGTCGGGGTTCGAGTCCGAATAGATGTGATGTGCTGCGATGCGTTCGAGTCGAGTCGAGTCCAGTCGAGTGGGGTCGATCCCAGTCCCTTTCCATGGGACGTCCTGCTTTCCCTTTTATAGTTAAGGGAAAGCACGGGTTACAATCGAGGGAAAAAGAGGATAATGAGAAGGAGAGGAAGTTCTCCAGGATCGTCGGGTCCTTCTTTTTCCTTCAAGCGGGTCCCGCCGACCCTGTAGACGTCAACAGGGACAGCTCCATGTCGCGGCCCTGTCCGTCACTGGCGCCATGCGCTGGCGTCGTCTCCCGGTCGTGGCGTTCCACTCCGTCCTGGTAGACATCGTGGTGAACTGACGCGTCTGTCAGTGCCCGTACGATGGTTAGACAGAACAGCACCGGTACGCCCGACACTATTCCTGATGTGAACCCCCAGGTATGGCCCGTCACGACCACGGGTTACATCGGGGCGTGTCGGTCACTTTCCTGGTGGCAGAGCTTTGACTCAGGGACATACGCTTGGACCCGGAGTGGTTGGTTACGGTATGGGACTCCGTCGGGCGAGGCGGAGCCCACGACCTCGGGGTAGGGCGAGACAGAGCCCGCGGCCTTGGGGTCGGGCGAGGCGGAGCCTGCACTTAGAAATATTAAATGACAAGTTATTGATATCAAATGACAAGTTATAAGGTCTAAAACTATTTTTATTTTATTCTCATAAATATCTATTAAAGGACTTATTCACCGAACACTTAATACATAGCGTTCTGTAAAAAGTCTTACATGTAATGTGTTTTTTTAAACAAGTTTATTTTTATTAGGTGGGTTGACATTCATCGATGAACTTTGTACAAACCAAATGGTTACACAAAATCATTTCAAATTAGAAAAAAATAAGTAGCCAAAAATAGTGTTTTTAGGGGGAGAGAAAGGAATACACACAATAAAAATAGTTCATGCACTGCAGAAGTAACATTTTACTCAAATAGAAGTCATGCTTTGTGATTTGTCCTTAGTGATGAAACTTATCTAATTTGACTATCAATATTTATAGATATATCATCATAAATGAATAATATTATGCAGTATATATTTTTATTTACACAGCAGATTGATTGATCCCAATATATAGTTTTTTGGAAGCAATCCCAAGTGTAAAAAGTCTGATTTAGGAGCAACCTAGATAAACGTGCCTAGGAGGAAATATTCCGTAAAGTTCGGGCCCACCCTACATTGCTGGCCAATGCGAGGAACGGGCTGGGACCTGGGACTGGGAGGCCTCTTCAACTTGGCAGGTGGGCTTGGGCTGGTCGGAAGGCCTGTTGGCGCGACTGTTCGAGTGAGCCCAGAGCCCCACGGTTTCGCTGTCCCCGTACACCTCGGCGAGTCCGGTGCCGGCGGCGATGATCAGGAGAGCAGCAATGCAATGCCGAGCGGAACTGGAGGAGGACGGGTAGGCGAGGGCACATGGAGGCATGATGAAGCCGTTGGACGCAGGGTGGAGGTGAGTTCTCGAGTCCTCTAATTTGCGGATGGGGTTTCTTTGGTTAATTAGGGTTTGACTTGGTGCCGAGTTCAGAGTAACCGGGCTGATTAGCCGGCCTTATGAGCTTAAATTGTTATGTTTTTCATGCGAATTAGTGATTTTGGAAGAGACCAAGTGGTGGGCTCTGCTGGAATTTGTTTGCTCAATTGCGCATTTTTGCACTACGTCGATATGGCAATGGCATCAGTCCTCTAAAAATTTGGTCCTTCTTATCCTTGTCGCTTTGAACCAGATTTGCGTTATCCTCGCTTGTTGCTAATGTGGCAACAACTACCTGGCTACAAATTTCTGGACATTTTGCACTCGCCAGTTTGAGACTTGGGGTCTGCAGAGCTGAATAGCTGATCATTATCAACTCTACAGTTTCCATGTGGTACTGCAGCGTGGCTATTATAATCAATCGGCTATTGATCTGCAACCTTTCATTTGTTCCGGTTCATCTTTCCTCAGATATCTTGTCAATGCCTCAAATCCAGAGGTTCATGCAAGATGTCGTGACATGCTGAATCTCACGATATATAACTTCCATGCTGTTTTCCCAGAAGTTCCAAATTTCCAATGTAGAAAACTTTTTTTTTTTAAAACATAATGGCAGAAGCTCTGCCTTTCAGTTAAGAAGAATAGAATTGGCTTAGTTTATAAGGGAAACTATGCCTGAAAACCTTACATACGCACGGATTAACACACAGAAAAAACCCATATAACCATAACACGATAGTCCAGCCGACTAACCCGTGGCAACCCACTTATACAGAGAGGTAACTCACAAACCAACGGTGTTCACCGCATGTCAACGTTGCCGAGCTTATCACAAGCAACAAGGAGCAGCTCCGAGTGAAGAATCCAAAGGCCCAAGTCTCGCCTCTCGTCGTCGTTTAATCCCCTCTATAACAACTTGGCCTCACATGGCGTGAACAAGTCCTCGAGAAGCGCAGTGGTGCAAGGAAACATTACGTCATAAAATTCCCCCACATGGTTGGCCCGTCGAGGCCACTGAGTGCCACCAGCGCCTTGATTACAAGGTCAGACATTGGACCTTTGAAGAGGTTGACGTAGCGCAGTAAGGTCCTCTCCAGAGTTTCGCCTTCTTCCTGCGTGACGCCCAGTCGCTTCATGAGTACTTGCCTTGCTCTCTATGCGTGTCACCACACGGCCAAGCAATGGCTGCTAGACGCGCGCTGCGCCGGGATGGCTTTTGCCCGGCCTCTTCTTCTCCCTTCGTGGCTTCACTAACCCGTGTTGCTGTGGAGCAAGTAGGGGTTGCTGGACAGGCACGGTTACTGACTGTGCATCTGAAGTTCAGAACATTCACTGTTTGTACTTCTCAGAAACACAATTTTAAAATTCCTGAGTTTGGAAGAAGCCCGAGGCCTTTGATTGTGGAAGTTACAAGGCACAGTTCCTCAAAGTTTGGTGCTTAACGGTTTTGACATGTAAGTGCTGTTGATGGAAGTACACCTAATACAATCTACAGGTCGTGTTTAGTTAATTGAAGGTCTTTCCAATAAGGCAAAGTTTCTTTTTGAATCCTAAGCAAAACAAATTGGAAAATGAGGAAAGACTGGTGATCTCAGCGCAGTCCTGTGTGAATCAAGCAGTAGGCAGAAGACTGCTGCATGTGGGGTTGCATGGATACTCGCAGTCGATCAGTTTCACGCCTCGCCTTCTACCAAAATACCAATCCCCAACAGCCTCTGCGATAGACTGCTTGCAAACAACAGAAGAAATTTAGAAAATATCAGTCCAAGTGAAGACATAAAAAACCAACAGTATGCTATTGCAATGTACAGTTCACATGGTTTTTTTTTTCTGAGGAGTTCACATGATTTAAACCTTACCTTGTCACCAAGTCTTGGTGAGATCGGTGAATGCCATGTGATATTGAATGGTGTTTGACAGTGGGTAAAGCATGAATCAATGAACAGCCCCCAGTCCTTGTTATCTTCAGCAATCTTCAATTCACTGACTAATTTCTTCTTGAATCCTGCAACACGAGGAATGAAAATCTACAGTATCAAGGAAAACAGGATCATCACTAATGGATGTAGAAAGCAAAGAGATTCACAAGCTTGACTGACCATGTAGTACATCAATTTGTGTGCAGCTGCAGTTCCGGATATCTGCTTTGCAACTAGATCATGCCTGACCAGGATAGGATCCATTTGGTGCGAGAATGTTTCGTATCTAGAATTAAAAAGTAGTTAGGGATTTAACCATTGGACAACTGGGAAGAAACATAAAGATTGTAGTCACCTGCCAAGAATCGTAATCGGAGTTCAGAATAAACGTTGGGGTGATGATGTCCTTAATCAGTTCAGCAGGAAAGAAACACTGGGAGCAACAAAATGTCAGCAAAATAAATTTATAGCAACATCAAAAAGAGAATTGAATTAGATAATGTGAGCGTACCTCTGTTGGATCCTTCTTTTGGAGGCAGTTGTTGGGTAGAACTTCTCTAACATTCTGGAAGAAATTAATCAAAGAAGCAATTCAATCAACATATACTACCAAACTGTGTATAGTTTTGTCATGCAATCTCTTGAAAGTGAATGACTGTGTTCCGCGACTAACCTGAAGGTGAACTGCTCCACTGATGAGCGACCGCATGGACCTTTCTCCAGATAAATCCTTCCTGTGGCAGAGAAATGTACTTCATTTAGTGAAGTACAATGCTAATTGGCTATACTAATTTTTAGGGACTTACTCGTCAATAAAAAATCCAGCATCAGAAAGGCATTTAACTGAAACTTCATGAGGAAACCGCCCACGGAAATTATCACAGTGCAGTAGTGCAGCTAGAGAACCAGCAGAACAGCCTGTAAGCAAGGCCTGGAAAGCAGGGGAAAATGGACGTGGCTCTTGGTTAGGACTTGTGTGGTCAAGCTTTGTGCAATTATTGGACAACCTATACGAAATCAATGAAAACCTGTTTAGCACCATCCATTCCTTTTCCCATGAGTTCATCCACAACTGCTTCCCAGATGCGCAATCCTCTGAAGAAAAGTTTGGTTCCATCCTATACATATGCCAGTACAGCATCAGTTTGAGAAATTAAGATGGGCACTTGGGCAGTTCCAATCAGAATTCAAAAAATTCACCAGATCTTCACCTCTGCATCCCCAGCAAATGATCCTCCATCGCAGTACCTTATAACGGCTATATTCCAGTTGTAGAAATCTGATGATGACTGACAAAAATTAGTGCAAAGACACATTTATGAGGCAGTAGGATCACAACTCAATTCAAAATCTTTATAATAGGAAAAAGACCAACAGAAAGCGTTACTGCATCTGCATTAGTTCAAATTCCAAAATGAATAATTGGGACATGGAAAACGATAGCAGACTAGTAGGTGCTCCCTTAAAGAAGCATGTTGATGGAGACTAATATAGCATTAGGAAATCCATCCATGACAGAGCCAACTTTTTATACCAGGATTTTCTATGTGATCATTGCTGAGTATCCCATTGAAGTTTACTGCTGTCATATACTTAGATGAACCGAAGTTGGTCATTTTGCGCTCGGAACAACTCTGTGTGGTGTTGCACCAACCTCCTCCCTGAGATATATCAGTGGAAAATCAGTAAGCCTACTAGACATCTCATCCCATTATGCTGGAAAGAACTCATTTAAGCTCAACCAGTTTTGTCACCTGGGTTTGCTATCTCAAAATTTAGCAACTACTATCCCACATTTTTTTGGGGTGCAGATTTCAGTTCCATAGTTTTTTCAAATCTCAGATGATCATTTGTTGAGCTTAATGACTTTCCATAACAATTTATATAATTGGCATGCAGGTTATGTACATAACAATTTATACAATGGGAAGAGAACACTCGGTCACCTCAAGAAAGACGAGCCAGCTGTGAGCTCCGGAACCAAATCCTCTCCGCAGGTGGTAACCAGGCGGACTCCCATCCAAGCACACTGCAATGCCATGAAGCAGGCCACGGCGGTCAGTATCCGGCTCCAGATGTGCCGCCGATTGAAAAGAAAAGAAGGCTACAGTTCGTTGACCGTACCCGCTCCCTTCTCCTGAGCGCCGGCGAGGAGTGTCAGGTCGACGAGCTCCGGAGGGCTCATAATTGGTGCCGCCACCGGAGAGCGGGAGAAGCCGACAACGGCCAGGAGGAGCGCGAGCAGGGGCGCGGCCACGACGACAGCGAGCCCGCGCCGACCCTGCGGGAGGAGCGGCGACAGCAGCTCGGTCGCCATGGCCGTCGCGCGCGGGAGGAGCTTCTAGCTACAGGAAAGGTATTATCTAAAAAAAAGCGCTACAGGAAAGGTGTGGTTTGAGTCATGGAAACCGTGCTTGAAGGGACATTTAACTTTTCCTTTGCTATTTTTACACAGACACCTACGTATTTGTGATCGCAAACAGTAACCCTCTTAATTTTTTTTGTCATTTTTTGTTGATGTGGCATGCCACGCAGTCAACCAGCGTGGCGGCGCCTCTCCTCCCGCTGCTGCTTCTCTCTCCTTCCACTCGCTAACATGTGGATCCCACCAGTCAGGTTCATCTTCAACCTCTAGCCACCGGAGAAACTATCACCATAGTGTAGAGGTCTTCATGCAATAAATGTGAATTTTTTTCACTGTCTCTCTCTTATCCCTCCGATGCTCTCTCATATGTTCTCTGCCAACCGAACCAAAGCGTGGCGGGTCTGCGGCCGATCTTGGGGCTGGACCGGGCGCGATAAGCGCGTCCGTGTGTGTGTGAGAAAGCGAGGCGTATGACAGCGCGGGGCCGACGTGGCTGAAATCTTGGTAGCGGCGGTGCTTTCCGCCGTGGGCGGCGAGGGGACGGCTTCGGGAGAAGCGATGATTTCTTGAAGCGGTGGCGCGAAGGCGGTGGCTCTTGAGGCGTGGTGTGGCGGCGACCGGCGTGGGCGACGCAAGCCGCGGCGGCATGGCGAGCGGAGCCGGTGTGGGCGGGCACGACATGGGCGAGCGGGACCGGTGCGGGCCATCCTGGAAACCGGTGGTTTCTTCCCAACGACCAGAGGTTGAAGATGAACCTGACTGGTGGAGACTCAATATCAGCGAGTGGAGGGAGAGAGAAGCAGCAGCAAGAGTAGAGGCGTTGCCACGCTGGCTGACTGCACGACATGCCACATCAATAAAAATAGTAAAAAATTAGGAGGATTACTGTTTACGATGATAAATATATAAGTGTTCTAGTAAAAATGGCAAACGAAGAAGTCACATCCGTAAGTTGGCAAAAAAAAGTTAAATGTCCCGTGCTTGAAAGCCCATGCCCACCTACCACTACCATACCGGGGTTCGCGACTGCGACTGGGTACTGGCAGTGGCAGCTAGGGCCTAGGTCAAACTGATACGCCGTTTCTCGCAGAAAAAAATGGTCTATGCAGCGTAGCACTCGTCCAAATCCAATGGATAACGAAGTTTATTATTTGTTTGACGGGACTCCATTGGTGTACCAATCGAGAGTGACTAATTACGACTAGCTACGTTCTTAGCCGTATTTTTATTTTTTCAATCAATAAACAATATTTTTTTCTCACAACAAATCACCAACATACTTTTTAATATACCATCGGTAAAACGAACGAGAAACTTATTGGGAATCTTACATGTTACACGTGAGCATTCGATGGACACGCTATAGTGATGTCTGAGGCATTCATAGGAGTCCTTCATAGGACCCCATCTCTTTTGGATTTCAAGGTTGTTAACCTTTTATTGGTTGCTTTTTTCTGTATCGTTTGATTCGTTTCTGATTTGCAATAGCGAAGAGCAAAACTCCGCTTATTATAGGTCGAGCTGACTGCTACATGTGGGGTTGATGCATGGATACGCGCAGTCAATCTCCTTCACTCCATGGTCTTTACCGACATACCAATCCGCAACAGCATCAGCGATCGTCTGTTCAGCAAGAGAGGAAGGGAAAAAAAGGAATTGAAACTAAACCGTATTAATACAATTATAAAAAGATGAACATAAAAAAACGAGAAAAGTCTAGCTGCGGTTATGCAGCTTACAGTAAAAGTGACTCTGAACCTCACCTTGTTACCGAGTCTCAGGGAGATCGGCGAATGCCATGTGATTCTGAATGGCGTTTGGCAGTGGTTGAAGCATGAGTCGATGAACAGCCCCCAGCCCCTCTTGTGCTGAGCAACCTTCAAATCCTCAACCATTTTCTCCCGGAATCCTAAAGTACGGAGAAGGAAAATTCACATGATACTAGTCACCAGATGAGAGCAGACAAACACAAGAGACTGAAAAATTAAGCTGACCATTCATTGCCAAAATTTGTGTGGAAGTACAGTTTCGAATATCAGCTTTGCAACTGGCCCATGATTGTCCCGGATCAGATCCGCCTGGCGCCACGACATTTCCTACCTAGAGAGCAGAGCAGTTCCCCAGCTCGTATTTTAGCCATGAAATATACAAGTAGAAGGGGAAACAAAGGTTGCGATTGGTCACCTGATACGAATCATAACCGGAGTTCCGAATAAATGTGGTGGTGCTGATGCTCTTAATAAGCTCAGGCGGAAAGAAACACTGCAGCAAAGAATTTTCTTTTTTTTTTAAAAAAAAAACGAAACTTGGCAGCTTATACTATATATATCAAGGTAACTGAAATTCCCTAGACAATGAGCGATTAACTACCTCTGTCGGATCCTTCTTTGCAAGACAGTCCTTGGGCAAAACTTTTCTCACATTCTAGAAAAAAAGATTGAGGAAAGCTAATTCAATATTAATAGCTACCAAGCTGAATATATGAAACACTCTTTTTGTTGCAAAAAACGCATCCCAAAACAAGAAAAAAAAAAGAGGGGCTGAACTTGGGGAAATTGACGAATTATTGAAGCTAACCTGAAGGTGAACAACTCCACTGAAGATGGACCGCATAAACCTTTCGCCTGATGAATCCTTTCTGTGCCAGAAAGAGAACTGGTACTTAATTAGTTTCTTTAGTATTTTTTTTTTAAATAAGAAATAACTTCCAACCAAGGATGCCAGAGCCGTACACATCAAGAAAGAACCCAGCATCCGAAAGGCATTTTACTGGAACCTCCGGATGGAAACGTGCACGAAAATTATCGCAGTGCAGTAGTGCAGCAAGACCACCAGCAGAACAACCTGCAAGCAATACCTGAATAATTGGACATGGCTCTGCTCAGATGCTGTTGTCAGATTATGACAGTGGCAAGATATATACAAAAATCAATAGCTCAATTGACCTGTTTAGCAGTGTCCATTCCTTTTGCCATGAGTTCGTCAACGACTGCTTCCCAGATGCGCAATCCTCTATAGAAAAGTTTGGTTCCATTCTACATGAACGCCACTACACTATCAGTTGAGGAAGTGTGAAGATAGGCAGTCTAAGCAGATAGCCCAAATCACAACTGTCAGAATAATCACTCACCCGATCTTCGCCCTCCGCATCCCCGGCAAATGATCCCCCATCACAGTACCTTATGTCAACTATATTCCAGTTGTAGAAATCTGATCACATGCATGCACCAAATGAAGTTTCGAAGTCAATCTAAAGCGTTAAAGCTTAATTGGGGATCATATTCATATCCATGAAAAAGCAAGTTTATTTACGTACAGGGATTTTCTGTGTGATTGTTGCTGAGCATCCCTTCAAACTCTATTGGTTTCATGAACTTAGACGAACCAAGGTCAGTCAGGCTGCGGCTGGAGCAATCTTCTGTGGTGTTGCACCATGCTCCTCCCTGAGTTTATTCACAGAGAATCAGTGACGCAGCACTGAGTGAATGTCGTTGCGGTTTTCCAAATTTGCATTCAACACATGAACACAGAAAAAAAGATGGATCGATCACCTCAAGATTGACGAGCCAGCTTCGTGATCCGGAGCCGAAGCCTCTCCGGAGTTGGTAAGCCGGCGGGCTGCCATCCAAGCAGACTGTAACGAGCAAAACGGAGCAAGCATACGCTATCAGGAGGCAGCCCCAGGACAGACAACGCTAGTGCAAATGAACGCAAGGAAGAAGGTTAGCTGAATACCCGCGCCCTTCTCCCGAGCGTTTGCGAGGAGGGTCAGCTCAACGAGCTCCGCCGCCGCCGTCGGCACCGACGATCGGGACAATAAGGCTGACACGGCCAGGAGCGTCATCGTGATGAGCCGGGGCGCCGGCGCCGCGAAGCCTGGCCGAGGCGTGGTCGCCATGGCCTTTGCGCGGCGTGGCTACCTGCTGCGGCCAAGACCCAAGAGGCATACAACGCCGGGGTGGTTGTGGTTGTGGCGTCGTGGGAAGTGCCAAGCTTTTGTCAAACCGGGGTGGTTGTGTACTGCAGCAGACATGACATGAGACATCTCTAGTTGCGAGTGTACTTTACCCATTCGTACTACGCCCAGATTTGAACTGAATATAAAAATCAGTGCTAATTATTCTGCACGGAAGGTAGGTGGCTGCTTATTCTCTCAAGGAAAACCCTGACTGATTATAGGTGTTCATAAGGACAAATCCTACATATTCTAGCACCTATAATCTAGAGATCCAAATAAAATACCCTATTATAATTTATAATCTAGATTATCATATTCCCATTTACAATTAAGATTGTAGTAATCCAAAGGTGATTCAAACAGGTCTAAAATAACACAGAAAAGGCTTTTTATATACTCAAAAAATGTTACGCAACGTGCTTGAATGACAGAATGAATGCCATATGCGACGGACCTTTGGAAACTGGTTTACACTCGGCCCTCTTATGCCCTTTTGCCGAGACGGTGTGGAACCAGGTACTAGCATAGGGAGATTTCGACACTCAACTCGCTAATACACAACCAGAACCAATGCACATAGATGATTGGTGAGACAAAGCCAGTTCAACGGAGTGGTGATCTACACAATATGGAACATTTGGAAGGAAAGGAATAGGCAAATATTTAACAACACTTCAGAGTCACCAATGTAGGTGGCCCCCAGAGTTAGGAGGATATTGTGCAAAGAAAGAGAGCCAGCTTAGAGAGGAGTTAAAGCCCATTTGTTGAATATGGGGGTCTTAACTGTGTTTTGTTTGCTCTGGAGGGCTATTTCCCTTGTACATAAAACTCTCTTTTCTATCTTATTAATTAAAGGGCAGAGCTCCTGTCGTTACGTTAAAAAAAATAGAATGAATGCCATGGAAGGGCCGGCATCGCTCGGCAGGTGCCATATCTGAATCTGTCTGACATCACAATGCGGCAAGTCACTGAAGAATTCTGCCCAACATTTTTTTTAGCAAAAAGAATTCTGTCCAACTTTTTTTTTTGAGGAAATTCTGCCCAACTAAACGACAGGACTGTCCTCAAAGGCTCGAACTAACACCTGGTCCAGACAGGTCGGCCCAAATCGAGGCGAATAGGAGGCAGCCCGTGGGCCGTCTCACGTTACCGTTCGGCCCACCGCAGATTTGATCCCCCGTTTCAAGCTGTGTGGCCGTGTGGGGGCCGCACGTTCAGCGGCGCCGCCGGCGCGACCGTGTCGCCGTGCGCCCGTGTCGGCTTCCGAATCTCTCTGTTCCTGACGAGTGACGTGCCAGAGCCGTTGAATCCGCCAGCGGGCGCCTGCTGGTGTGCGTTGGCGGCGGCGTTAGGAGCGCGTCCGGGCCACTCAGCAGCGCGTCGGCCGTCGGCACTGATCTCATCTGTGCACTGCACTCACTGTGGTATCCATTGTTATCGCCACCAAAGCGAAGGAAAAAAAGGAAAGAAATTGCCACGCTATCATGAATTCATGATGTCACGTCACTTGATCCCGGAGCATTTCCCGGCAAACCCTCGTTGCATTGCAGTTGCGCATCCCCGGAATCAAGGACAAGCAACACAGTTGAAACAACAGGAATATCCTGCACGTGCAGTTGCTTCTCGCCGACTGAAGATCTGGGGCAATGGTACGTTGATACGGGCAACAGTGGGACAAGAGATGCAAGAGCCGGGGTGCGCTTGATGATCATGCTGATAACCTGGGAACTACGGAGGGAGAGAAACAATCGGGTTTTTTCACATATCCTTGAGAACGCCGGAGCAAGTCAGGAGGAAGCAAGGACATGGATACGGGCCAGAAATAGAGGGCTAGAAGCAGTGCTGCCTCCACTAGAACAGCCTCTTGTAGATGTTGTAAATCCTACGTAAGATAGAACTCTAAAACGTAGGGGTGGCATGGCACTTACTAGGATGTGAAAGCCATGTGAAATGGACGACCCTTGTGCCAAACCTCGTAAATATTGTGCTCTTCCCTTATTAATGAAAGCCGGATCTTTCAAGGAAAAAAAAATAGTATGACGTGCTAGTCTCCTACACACAAAAATGCAGTATCAAGCACGACGGCTTCCCTTGGAGCACGAGAACAGCTTTTGAGCTGTCCAGTCCAGCGTATGGAGCACGGGCGTCCAATTCAAGATTAGGACGGATTGATGATTGGTGGTGCCATGGCCCTGCTACGACTTGGGCTCTGTTCATTCGAACTTATCGGCTAATCGGCTAGAATCAGTCATTTAAATCAGCTGGAGCCGAAATAAATCATACCAAACAGAGCCCATGATCAGTTGGCCGTCGACCAAGACCAGTTCGAGCGCTGAAAAGCAGGGCCATCTGGACACACGGACTGCGACGTGGCATCATTTGCTGCCTGTAACCAGAAACGGAACGCACGCGGGGCGGGGACGTCGCGCTCGTGCCCATAGCTAAACGCGTCGACGTGCCGACGTACGTGTGGTGGACAACTGGAGAGGCGTAGATAGCCGTCGCTGTCCGCGTGAGCCTGAGAGGCAACAGCGATGCGTTGTTGCGGACTAGATTCTTTCGACCCCTCTTTGCTCCTGGTGTCAGCGTCGAATTGTAAACTGTCGATCTTTGTTTCGGACATCGAGAGTGCAAGGGGGGAAGTTTTGCCTTGCCCTTGGAAACATTTTTTTTCCAAACCATCTACACTTTAGAACTAAAATGAATCATCGTCGTTCCTCCGAAATAAATCAAGAAAAATTCTAACACTTTATAGTGGCCACGATCCCAGCTCAGGCCTTAAAATTAAAATTAAACGGTAATGCTCCTGTTCAGTCGGCCGGCCATCCGGACCCCGCCCGCGTTGCCCGCTTGTAGGACGGAGCCCGCCCTCCCCCACGCCGACCCCGCTCGAGCCGCGCACCTCCGCTGCGCGCCCCTGCTTGCGGGACGGATCCCGCCCTCCCCAACGCCGACCCCGCTCGCACCATGCGCCCCAGCTGCGCGCCCCTGCTCGTCGGACGGATCTCGCCCTCCCACATGCCGCCCCCGCTCGTACTCGTGCCTCCCGTTATGGGCACACTGCATCCACCTGCCCAGGTCCGTGTCGCCGCCGAACTCTACACCGGCGACCTCCGCGCCACTCCGTAGCATCGAGCTCCATGCCGGTGTCGAGCTCCGCGTCAATGAGCCTCCGTTTTCGTCCAAGCAACAAGTAGATGTTGCGCTTGACAATGCATGTTGCGAGCGTCTGTTTTAAGTGTTTCAGATGTTTTAGAGGTATGTTGCAAGCGTTTCATATGGGCGTTGCAAAAGTAGATCGAGATGTTGCATATGTTGCAATGGTTGTACACGTATGTTGCAAGCGTTTGTTCCCAATGTTTCATCTGTTTTTCTAGACGTATGTTGCAAGTGTGTTTATCTGAATGTTGCATATGTTTTACACATAATATGTTTGCAAATATTTTATCTGGGTTTTGCGTATGTTTTTGCAATGGTTTCAAGTGTTTTTCAGGTGTTTTTAAGTGTTTCAGATGCATGTTTCAAGTATTTCATTTGCCTTCAGACGTATGTTGCAAGTGTTGCATTTGAAGTTTTAAAAGTAGATCGGTTGTTGCATCTCACTCATCGCCTTGTGCTGCCTCGCCTCGGTGACTCCTCGTCCCGGCGCCAGTTGGGCATCAGCCTCCTCCTCCCTCTCTTCTCGATGCTGGTGACGTTTGGGACGGCGTGGGCCCATGTGGTCGCGCGAAACGGTGTGGAAAAATGACCGTAGGCGCGGACGTCCGGGCGCTAGCAAGCCCCTAAATTAAAACATGATCGTGGTTCGAAATGTTTGTTTACGGAGGAATTTGGCATTTTGTTATGGAATTATCAAGGTTTCTACTTAAACCGGAAATGGACTTATTTTCCTTATGCTTAAAAAACGTTGGGGTGTATGCATCGCCGGCTATGCTGTTTCCAAATTTTCGTGCAAGGATCATTTTTTTTTTCTATGAGGACGGGCAAGGATCATCGTCTAGCAATTATTACGTGAAAAGATTTGCTACCTCAATCTTCAAGTTGCAGGTTAGTTAGCGTTTCGGCTTCAAAATAATTCATGAGAACAGAGATTCTGTTGTCAGAGAAAAGATATTTTTTGAGCCGAGAAAGGAAATGGAATTGCCATTTATAAGAAATGAGAACCTCTTCTCATTTTTTTATGATAAAAGACACTCAAACGAGTGTCACATCTGATATATCTCATTTTTCCCTTTTACTTCGTTCAACAAAATGTAAGGAGTTTTTGTTTTGCTCTCTACGTCAAAGTTTTATCTAACTGACAAATTATATAGAAATTAATTAACAGCTACAATATAAATGTATGTGTATTTTTATACCAAACAAACGTATGTGTATTTTTATATAATTTGATTAAAAATTAAAATTTTAATTTAGGACACGATCAAAACACGGTATATTTTTTCTTTTAATTGAGGAGTGAAATAAAAAATAAAAAAAAATAGTTCGGGTACAATTAAGAGGCTTTTTCAAGCTGCCAAACATACCAGTAAAATCAGCTCAAAGATCACTAATCCTAATATCCGACCAACTTTCTTCTGTCAGCCATCCAAGCTGGTGACAACCATTTACTCCTTCGTTTCCCTACTCCATTTCGGCTACCTTTCCTGACCGTGACCGTTACAATTATTCCCAACGGTATTTTCCAAATAAAACGCGCCAAAAGACTCCCAAGTTACCCGCGTTATAAGCGTAACGAACTTTAGCCTTCCTTCGCCGCCCGGGAAGCGAGAGGCCTTTCCGCTCTTCACTCTCCTCCGCTCGGCGTCTCCTCTTTCTTCTCTTCTCCTCTCCTCGCTCACGAGGCCCAAGCTTACCGCCAAGGTCTCGATCTCCGCGGGGCTCTCCGTCGCACTTTCTCGTGCCTCGGGGACCCCGATCCTCCATCGAGATCCCGGTCCGTTCCCGGATGCACTGATCGATCGTACCTGAAGAGACTGCTTCGGACATGGCGGCGAACGGCATGAAGGTGGCGCTGCACCGGCAGGTCTCCGGGGGTTCGATGAAGCACAACTCGGAGCTCCGGCGCCAGGCGTCGCTCGAGTCCCCTCGGACGGGGCGGGCCACCAGCCGGTTCCTGTTCGGGCGGCAGTCGTCCATGGACCCGAACCGGCGGCGCGGCCGGAGCCAGAGCCCCATGGGGTCGGGCACGGCGGCGGAGGACCTGAGCGTGCCGGATAACCTGGACGCCACGATGCAGCTGCTCTTCTTCGCGTGCCAGGGCGACGCGCTGGGCGTCGAGGGCCTGCTGCGGAGCGGCGTCGACGTCAACAGCATCAATCTCGACGGCCGCACCGCGCTGCACATCGCCGCCTGCGAGGGCCACCGCGACGTCGTCAGGATTCTGCTCAGCTGGAAGGCCAACATCGACGCGCGCGACCGCTGGGGAAGCACGGTGAGCCGCGCGCCCGGTTAACCGGCCATTGCCATTCTCACGTCACGCCTGCATCAGAGTTTTCTTTGCCAGCGATTCTACCTGCGTCATCAGTCAGATGACGATCTCATTCATTCGCTTCTCCGATCATAGGCAGTAGCTGATGCCAAGTTTTATGGCCACTCCAAGGTCTACGATCTCTTGAAAATTCATGGTGCAAAGATTCCGGTATGTTTAATTTCTAGGCACTAGGCACTTGAACTGAAACTTTTATCTTGTTTGTTGACTAATCCGTGATCGTCGTTTCTGCAGAGAACCAAGAGGACACCGATGATGGTATCGGTCCCAGGCGAGATACCAGAGTACGAGTTGAACCCCGGAGAGGTCCAATTCCGGCGAGGCTGTGATGTTACACCGGTGCGATTTTCTTTCCAATATCCAGCTTTATTTGTTTCATTCACAAAACATTTGTTCAAAAATGGAATGCCAGTGAGATACGGAAAATGGGGCTAATGGTGGTACGGCAAATCGAACAGGGCATGTACCACATCGCGAAATGGAATGGCACCAAGGTTTCCGTAAAAATACTTGACAGAGACGGTTGCTCCGATCAAGAAGCCGCGTAAGACGCAAATAGTATCTGTGCTCAGTTTTTCTTAAAGAAATACCTGTGCTCAGTTACCAATGAAGATTTTTTCATGTATATAAAAAACGTCTCTTCTTTTGTTTCAGAAACTCTTTCAGGCATGAACTGACTGTACTGGAGAAGGTCCGACACCCTAATGTAGTTCAGTTCGTCGGAGCCGTCACTCAGAGTATACCTATGATGATTGTTTCTGAACTCCATGAGGAGGTAATACCACCATGTCTTTTTTATTTCCCATGGAAAACAAAGTTACTCTAATCTTCCCACCAAAAGTAATTTGAGTATACCACTGTTTATAAGTGTATATGTCTATATGAAACTTGTTCTCTGATGGGTTGACTTAATTCTTTTTTTTTTGTGAAACTCAGAAAGACTTATCAGTCTGTATCCAGAAAAAGGGAAAGTTAAATGCTCACAAGGTGCTAAGATATGGCCTTGATATTGCCAGGTACTCCTAAGTTCTGATGCCAACAAGAGCTGAAGAATCCAAATTGATACACACCATATAGTTTATACGAGTAGCTCTTTTACATTTTCAAGAAAAAAAAGATAACAACGCACATCCATACTTGCTAACAATGTTTCTTGCTGTTGCCTTTACCGTGTGTACATAGGGGCATGACCTATCTCCATCAGTGCAAACCGGACCCCATCATCCACTGCGACCTAAAGCCAAAGTAAGATGAGGAAATGAAGCAGCCCGAGAAATGCTGTTCTCTTGTTGCATTCTTGGCAGTGGCACACAAATTGCTGTTGTCTTTCACGGTTGTCCCGTACTTTACTATTTTAATCTTGGTAAGGTGCCAGGCATATCTTCCTGGATAGTGGAGGCCAACTGAAAATCGCGGGGTTCGGAGTGACAAGGGTGTCGAAGATCAGGCCCGACAAAGTGAGACTGATCAACCATGGTGCTCTCGTTGACAGCTTCAGTAAGTATCAGATCATGGCATTTCTGATCCATTTTGTACTTCTCCATGATCCATCCAAATGAAAAACCTTCCTATTGTTTAGGCTACCACACTGCACCTGAGCTGTACAGAAACGACGCGTTCGACTCGAGCGTGGATGCCTACTCATTCGGCTTCATCCTGTATGAGGTCAGTAAATTTCTGTTTGTTCCAGATGCAGAAATAACAGGCCAGGGAGAAGAAAAATATTGGTGGTTGGGGACGTTTCAGTTTCAGATCGTAGCGTTCCTATTAGCCAACCATTCATCATTTGTGGTGTAATCATCATCAGATGGTTGAAGGATCAGTGAGGACGCCAGAGGATTCAGGACACACGATCCGGTTCGAGGGGATGCGGCCATCACTGAAGGGCAAGCTCAAGGGCTATCCTCCAGACTTCAAAGCGTGAGTTCTGAACTGAAACAACAAGGGTGACCTTTCATGCCATTGTCACCTCATTGGTGCCATGTTCCAGTACAAAAGTAGCTTGTCTTTTCCAACCCTTCTTCTTCTTCCCCGGTTCTGTGCGTTGCAGGCTGGTGGAGGAATGCTGGCACCCCCAGGCCATGGCTCGGCCGACATTCTCGGAGATCATCATCCGGCTCGACAAGATCTATAACAACTGCGACAGGCAAGGGAGCTGGAAGGAATCGCTCAAGCTTTGGTGTGTATCCTCCCGGAGTTCTAAACGAATTATTAAGTGTCGCTCCGTGAAGAGCAGAATCCACACTGAGCCGTGAACAAAAATGTTCAGAAAAAAGATCTTTGCATTCGGTGACTGAATATTCTATTTTTTACCCTATTCGAAATCAAACACACTGAAAGTTTGCTCTGCGTGTTGTCCCGTGTTTTTACAGGAAATGACATGGCCTGCTCGCCTTCTTCTATGTGTACATATCGCTGCAAACGCGTCTCTTCCCAGGGAAGCTTGAGTGCTGTTATAAGTTGGAGGATCACGCGGCATGTTGATTGTTTTTTGTACGAAATTGTAACGGATTGTGAGTAAAATTGGACAGAACAAACGTATACGTCCTTTTTCCCTTCTCGCTACAGTGTCAAACAGAATGCACATATGTTGTTGGTTTTCTACTGGAGTCATCGAACATAAAGTAAGATCCATGAAATTTGGTTGTCCCTTTACAAACAACATGATATACATACATACATAGGATCCTCAAAATGATAATCGGCACGTCGTCACTGTGGGAGGTGCAGCCTCGAAAGGGGAAGATGAAACCTTGGGCCCAACAGCCCATCAGTGTGGGCTGAGTGGCCGGACCAAAATTGCCACCCTTCCCCGTCCACTGCAAATAAAATATCCGAATCCTAAACTCCCAGCACTATGAGCCGACCTCGAAGATCTTGCACCTCCTTATAGATGTTAGTCTAAATGGAATGCTTAATATTTATCCACAATTCTTGGGTTTTCAGCAAGATCAGACTCTTTCGGGTTCACTGCTTGCTTTGTGGCGCGTCTCTGGCTCTCCTAGAGTGGATCCACAATGCCAAAGTCGCAATTGTTGTTGGAGTGGCAACAAAGCTGTCAACGATGACACGCTGCGTTCACTTTGTTAGGAGGTCAGGGCTTGCCGTGAGTAGGTGGCGGCGTGATAGGGAATTTGACTGATCTTCATCGTGAGAAGTCAAAATCGCTTATCGCTGTTGTGAACTTGTGATAAGCTTGTCATCAACGATAACGTGTGGTGGGCTCTGTAGATTGTGCTACTTTTTTTGTGTAAGCGGATTCCTTAGGGTTAGTGGTCTAGGTTGCTATGCTTAGTTTTTTCACCGTTTCTTCTTCTTTTAATAAATTGTGCGACCGTGAGATTTTTAGGTCCGATGCTCCTTATAAACTTGGTTACTTCCTTTGTAACAATTGTGAATTGCACAATTTCCCTCCCCTCTATGGAGGTTGCTTCAAAGAAAACAAAAGAGAGTTGGGAGAAAGAGGGATCATCATGTATAAGATTAGAGTCTTTTAGGATCACTGGATCCGTCGTTGGATAATAGGTTAAATATGGACTAATTAAAAATTATTTTTTCTAATGAGTTATACTCATCAATTAGCCTCTATTAGTTTTATTAGTTATAGACCATAATTAATTAATGTTTAGGCCTTCTAATTGACATCCAAAATATCGACTAAACTTTTTTTTTGAATCAACATGAACTAAACTTCCATCCAAACAGTCTTTTATTCCTGCTCTAAGGCGCATAGCGTAACGCCGTAACCTCCGTGTGCTCCTGCCCCAAACTTTGTGCTCCCTGCCTCCAAGTCCTTTCTCTGTACCTTCGCCACCACCGATCTCTCCACTTTCTCATCTGTCCTACTCCTTCGTGGAGTGCTATCGGCACCGTTGAGGGTGCCATGACACGGAATAGCGACCGCTGCAGGGAAAGACAGGACGCTATTGGTGTGTTTGCTTTTTACCTCGCCGTCGTCGCATCAAGCCGCTGGCCTACACCGCTGCTGGGTTCGCGGCGCGAGTCCGCCGTCAAGTCGCTCCGCAGTCCGCACACGCCATACGATTCCTGCAGGCTAATTCTCAGGAACTCATCAGGGAGCGGTCCATTGCTCGGAAAATGCCGGACGACGCGGCGGCGGAATGGCCTCTATGTTTCATGTACGCGATACGCATACGGCCCCTCTTCCGAAAACTGCTCTCTTTCCATTTGCTTGCCGGCGAGCCGACCTCGACGTGGACATCTCCAATGGTGACAAATCTCCCTCAAAAATTGCTTCTAGTCGCCTGTGTCATGGATGACATCGAATGTGCCGGGCGGTGCTGCTGTAGCTGCTGTCGTGGATGGGAACAGGACAAGAAAGGTCGGTACCCTCGCACGGAAGAAACAAAACACAGATATCTCCAGAGCACGGAAGGAAAGGTGAGGAAGAAAAGGGAACGAAGGGGCATTTTTTTAACACTTTTTTAAATTATTTTTAATTCTAACATTCTTTTTTTTTCCTTCAAAAGTAACACTTTTGGACGTGCCTGTTTGCATGGCGCGACAAATTCACGCTGCCGCGCCATGCATGGTGGCACGACATGGGGCGGTCAACGGCTGCGGCGACCGCTGACGTGGCGGGGCCGACGCGCCGTGCAACATGACGCGGCGAGGCTTCACTTACCTGTTGCGGCGCTGGCTCCCTCCCTCTGTCTGTCTGCCCGACTCAAGATGAGGCCACTCGCAGCGCCCGCGCCATTGCCTCTCGGCTCCCCCACGGCCAACCGCCGACTTTCCCTCCCTTGTCGGCCCCCTCCCTAGCTTCCCCGAAGCTCCTCCTCGGCCTTGTCAAGGTAATGAAGCTCCTCCTCGGCCTCCACAGTGGATCGAAGGATTGGAATGAGTAGTTAGGGTATGGAGAAAAATATGAGTTCGTTAGAATATTGGATTGAAGGATTAGTATTGCCAATGTTAAGGTTAATTGGTTAGTTAGAATTATGATTACCATGTATTCTAAGGTCAATTTTTATATGAATTTTGCTTGTTTGAGTTTGCATCTCAACTTTTATATGTGAATAAATATATGGACACACCGTTGATGTACCAAATTTTATTTTTTAGTGACCAAAATATAATTTTTATATAGTTTGCATGTTTACATTTAAGATAGAGTTTGTACCAAAGTGTAGGTTATATTTTATTTGTTGTAATGCAAATGTTCTCATTGACATTAGTTTTTGATTTTCGTTTGTTAAATTACAACCGTTTTGTTAGATGCAAGACATGTATCAGGAGGAGTTTTAATGAAAATGGGGTCGTCCTAGAGAATTATACCCCGACGCGTCTAGCGAAGATGCCTCCATCCCTCCTGACCCCCATGTCCCTAACTGTGACTATGGTTTCCTGACCGACGTGTTTCAATCGAGACATTCAGACACAGTGGCGCGTTGCTTCTACACATACAATTGTTTTAATGTAAATAATTATTTTCACTATCTTTTTTTCTTCATTTATGTAAGTAGGCTACTAATATTTTATTGGAATCTTGTTGTGTAGGTCCATGAGAGGTGTTTTTTCTTTCAGTGGATCGACGATGCAGACAAGTTTGACCCAAGGTACCTCCTTTTCGATGATTGGTGTAGAGGGAGACATCCACGTGCATTTCGAGCGGTGGGTTCCACCCCCTAACACCCCGCCAATGACGACTAAGGAAAAACACCTAGACGCAGTTAGACGACTCGAGAAACCTCCTCTCTACGAATGTGGAGATCGAGCTGTGATAAACCCTAAGAATACGTTGGAGTTTGTACGTCCGAACAAGCACGAAGTAAGTGGAAAGTGTATCTGTTTAAATGTTTATCTCTATATGTGTGCATGTACTAATGTATTCTCTTGTAGCGTTATGGATTTGTGAAGTGTCGTTTCAATGAGTGGCTCTACGGTCCTAAGAATCAATGACCGGAGCCACCAAAGGCAAAGGAAAAGAAGAAAGAAAGGTTAATTTACAAAGCACCTCCAGTCATGTGCGAATGTGGTGTTAAATCCAACTACGGTTTAGTCCATTCGTAGCTTGGAATAGGCCATTATTGTGGCCATATGGTTGACTATGATGAGGTTGGTTATTTTTATGGTAAATATGAAATCGTATTTTATTTCTTTTGCTAAGACATATATGGTATAATTTTTCGTTTGAACAGAGCACTAGGAAATACAGATGAAAATGTTATGATGGTCAAGCTAAGTTCTTGGATGAACTGAAGAGGAGGCAAGTAATTATACGGAAGAGGGGATATGGACCTGACTACGTCAACCTATTCGTTAAACAGCACAAAAAGAAGATGCATGAGTTTGCTAGACAACACGGTATTCGTAGCCCGATCGATGTTAGGCTTGACAAATGGGAGTTGGAGAGACGGAGGGCGTTAGAGGAGGAGAGGGCAAAGAAGAAGGCAAGGGAGGAGACAAGAGTACAGATGCAGGTCTTGAATGACCATGTTGTTGCATTGTGTGCCAGTGAGTGCTTGAAAGCCTTTTTATTTTCATTGCCTGATTTTAAATGTAATATAATCGCGTTGCTAACTGGTTGCATTTTATACATGAAGGGATTGGATGCAGCGAGGACCATGCTGCAGAGGTGGCCCATGCAAGATATGAGGAAAAGAAATTGGATGACCACAGAACGCGAGCTGGTCGCACCGTTCAATCTTCGATTGTGTTGGTCGATGATGGGGACGAGGATGAGGACGACACTGTCAGGTTGAGTGATCTCATCGCTCTAGCAGAGGCGGGCTTGTAGGCAGAGGAGACTGAGGAAGACACTGGTAGACTTTGTGAGCTTATTGCTCAAGCAGATGCGGGCTTGCAGGTGGAGGAGGACGCGTTCTTCTCTCAGGCCACAGAGGCCGCAGATGAAGTGGAGGCCGCTTACTACAGGGGACAGATAGATCAGGGCAATGCAGGTGAGCCTAGCCACATGAGCCAGGTGGAGGAGAACACGTTCTTGACTCAGGCCGCAGAGGCCGTAGATGAAGCGGTGGTAGCTTATTACAGGTGACAGGCAGATCAGGGCAATGCAGGTGAGTCTAGCCACAGCAACGAGGTAGTGGTAGAGGACTAGTACTCGGACGATGAGTTACTTACTCAGTATGTTTCAGACTGAGGATTGGTAGAGGTGTGGTAGAGGATTGGTACAGGTGTGCTAGTTCAATGCTTTAGATTTGATATTTGTATTGTAGTAGAACTTTCTCGGTGCTGCATTGTGTTTCATTTGAACTATTTATATAATGTACCCATGTAACAAACACTATTTAATTTTTGTAACAGACATTGTGTTATCTCATATAAAACTTTCACCACAAAAAATGGTATTACAATGCTGCAATTTGCATGTATTTGTTACGTTCTCGGTATATAATCCTTTTGCTTTTGTCATTGTCACACATTCGGGTATTACTTTTGGGTCTTAGTGTGTCTCATTGTGCCTGCTAGCATTAGACGACAGATGCTTGGTGACCAATGAAGTTGGGCTGGTTCTGTAGTGTCCTGATGAAACATATCTGATAGAGGGGGTTTGCTAAAGAGGTTTCTTCCACAATCTATAGAGTACCAGTGTTACCAAGGGAAACATTAGCCACGAGACATGGCACGCATATTCCTTTTAGTTTGGTGCCCATCTTGTCCAAATATTATCTCGAAGACTGTACCAATCACTAATGACCTTGTGTCATGTCTATGCTCTGTTTTTTTAAAAAAGATAAATAAAAAGTTGTTCTCACCATTGCGATCTTTCGAAACCCCTTAAATTATATGCATCAAAATCTTGCTGCTGCTGATGCGCTCAGAAGAGAGTCTGGCCAGCGCCCAACATGGGTTTGCCGCGCCACCATCCATGGTGCGGCTAGGCTGACGCGCCAGCTGCCATGGCGCGGCAAGGCTGACACGCCAGCCACCATGGCACGGCAAGGCTGACGCACCCTTAGCCATGGCGCGATGGTCAAAGCGACAACAAATGGAACAAGGCACTTCTATTATTTCTCACATGAGCCAAATTATTTCATCGTGTCGATTTAACGAATAGGTCAGCAGGAAGGTTAAGTGCACGAGACAATCAATACACAAGTTCAGCAATACTAACTTGTACACGTCCCAAGTTCATCGCAAGTTCGACAATACCTCTGTTCG